TGTCACTTGTAGTATGTCCAAATTTGTCACAATCTTTCGTGTTTAAGTGGACTACAATACCGACGATTGACCAGATCTAGTCATGAAAGTGTAGGTAGTGAAAAACAGATTAAGACTGTCGTAAAACTTTGATCCCAAAATCATAAAAGAAATTTTAGCAGTGGTGAAAAGAAATTTTTGTTATTTTATTTTATTTTTAATTTTGTTTTTATTTTAATAAAAAATGAAAAATTAAAAATTAGGCAAAATTAGTTTAGTTTAAATTTTTAGATTTTATTTTAGTTTAATTTTATTTTTTAAGTCTTTCAAAATGTTCTATTTTTGAAAAATCTGGATGTATCGGATTTGGGTTTGAAGCATTTTGGGTTTGCAGCCCATGTGATATGGACCAGGAATGGTCCAAGGTATAAATATGTTGGTTTCATGCTGTAAACCTCTTTACCTTCATTTTTTTTGTGTGGCCATAAACCCCTCCAGATTCTCTCTCAACTTTTCTTTGATTCACTCCTCGATTCATCATCTTCTTGCTATTATTATTTGAAATTAAACCGTGATTTGTGTAGGTACTGCTAAGGCAAACTCCACACAATCAATCAGGTTTTGAGGGTTTATTGAAGCAAAAACAATTATCGGCGATGAACATCGTTTACAGCCGCAAATGATTTACAGTCGTTAACTCGTTTACGGTCGTGAACCTGTTTTTATCCATAAATAATTGTTTTTCATTTAAATCATTTGTATTAAAGCCTAATTAATTGATAAATAAGAAAACTTAAATTTTAAATGATTAAATATTTAGTTTTCTCACTTGGCTCGGTTGGTACAGATCAAATGGCGGACCTGAAATTTTCTGACAACCACAACCTAGTTGCTTTCCTATTTGATCTACTAGCTGCTCACCAGGAATTGAAGTCCATGATTTATGGGCTCAAAAGATGTTGTCTTGCACATGCATTCAGGAAAAATCCTATCATTTGTCAAGAATTGATAAAGCAATTCTGGAACAACACCTCTGTGATGAAAATAGAAGATAGTGAAGACTTATTGGAATCACTTATTAATGGAAAAAAGATTGTGGTGTCGGAGCAAATCATTCGCAAAGCATTGAAGATCAATGACCAGCCCGGGTTTCTTACTGAGATTTCCATGGAGCAAACATAAGAAATTGTTGAAAGAATGGGATATGAAGGAGTGTTTCCTCTGACCATAAAGAAGTTGTTGCCTCCTTATTGGGGATTTATTGCACACTCCTTCATTATTTGCATCTCTAGAAGAAGAGTTGGTGTTGATGAGATCTTACTGCTAAACACCGGTGCCATAGCTGCTCTTGTTACGGGTTTTGATTTCAACTTCTCAAAATACATTTTGAATGAGATGAAGAGCAATCTGGAAGGGAAGAGGAAATATAAATTTTTCATGTTCCTGAGGTTTCTACAAATGATTTTTGATAGTAAATACCCAGAGTTGGAAAGAAAAGGAGATACTTTGGACTTGAAGTCCTTAGGAGCAAACACTTTTGTGTTGATGAAACAGAACCGGAAGGGTACAAATTTTGAATTCAAAGGAAAATACCCTCTTGAGAAATTTGGCATGTTTGCAGAGATTAATAATGCATCAGAATCAGAAAGCTCATCTTACGATGAAGATGTTGAAGATGATGTTATTATAGCCTCAGAGCATGAAGAAGAGATTGTTCCTCATATTGCTATTGTTGCTGAGGAACACGTGTAGATTACTGATCTGAATGATGATGATGATGATGAGGATGATGAAGATGATATGGTTCTAGGTGGTCATCTATTTGGATATGATAATGATGATTTGTTCATCGACATTGAGTAGGATAATAATTTAAGGCTAAGCAATGAGGATCTCGATGCCTTCTTTAACAATGTCCATGATGTTGCAGAAACTGCAACGGAGACAAAGGGAGCTAGCAATGTTCACAAAGTGATGCCTCCAATTTTTTTATCAGATATCCGTCATTTCAGTGAATTTGGATAGAACTTCAAGGTCCCCCCCTTCCAGTTGCTACTCCAGCCTCATTGCAATCTAAGAGTGATCTTATTTTGCCACAAGCCTCCCAACCTTCAATTAAAAGGAGAAAAGCTGACGTAAGGACGAGAGTGCTTATCATGGAACAAGCACCTACTGTCCAACAAGCTTATGCAGCTGCAACACCAATCTAACTGACCCTAGAAGAAAGTCAATTTATGAAAGAAGGTCCAAGTGTTGCTCCATATTCTTATGAAGCTGGGAGTTCTTCAGCTCATGGGGGTTCTCTCCACCACAACCTGTGATTGAAGTTGCCTCTGAGAGGCTTGATAGGTTATTAGCGCAATAAGATTTTGACCCTTCTACCTGAGCCAAAGGCATATCTATAAGTGAAGGAAGCTCAGGGGGAGCGGACCCATCGTTTTCAGATCTTAGAGCTGAGATTGGTATACTAAATCAGAAGATTATTGAGAAAGATGTTTTGATTGGAAATCTCGACGTTCGAGTTTCTGAGCTTGTAGTAGAAAATTCATTAAAATCAAAACAAATCTCTGCTCTACAAGTTAACCATGGAGCCCTGACTACTAGATACTACGACTTGAAGAACAAGCTTATTGCAGAATTTGGTGACAAATTTAAAACTATTGTCGAAGATCCAAAAGAATTTGAGACTTCTCCATCTGCCCCATCCAATACATCTCAACAAGATCCTTTTGTTAATCCTCCACCAGTCAGAACCACAACAGCTGTTGACCATTTTGAGACAGAACCTACTCAAGCTCATCCAAGAGCTACTCTCAAACAAGCTCGGAGACAAGTATTTTCGTGGAAGAAGGGGAATTGGCTCTTCATGAAAAATTCATATCAGAATATTCGTGGAGACTAGCCTCAACTCACTATGACTTATCTTAGAAAGAAGAGGTTCAGAGACAAATATGGTGATCGGTCAGGAATTGTTATGTGGAGCTTTCATGAAAGATTAAATTGCTGGCTGGTGAAGCGAAAGAGCGGTAATATTGAATACTACAAGCAAAAATATAAATTCTCTTCTTTGACAAAGGTGGATCTCTCTGAGCTCTCTGAAGCTCCGTTCTCCAACCCAGCCAATGATCCTCGTGGAACTGATTTCAAAATTTTCTTGGAGAATCAAGTTAAAAGGAAATTTGATGGGATGAAGACTGCTGAATCTCTCTTGAAGAGAGCTAAATATGTTCTTGACCCCAAGACCAATAAGAGCTTCAAGAATGTCATGTGGCCCCTGACAAAACAGATGACAAAGATTCCTATTGTGAAGAACTTTTGTGATGGATCACTTTGCAATATGGAATACCGGGTTATTGATGAAGCCACAACTTTTGCTGTCATGAAATTCCCGGATGGTGTTTTTCGCATATTCTACAAAAGGGATTTGCTACAATTTGGTGAAAGGGACATACAAACTTTGGCTCAACATCAAAGCATTTGCAAAAAAGAGATTTTTGAGGCTGCGGAAATTTTTTTTACAGGCATGATTGCGGAGATCATTGAGAAGAAGATGTGGCTGGGTGCAATGGGAAGATCTTATGTACTGGTCGTAAAAAAGACTAATTCATGCTAGCCTCAAACCAAGGGGGAGACTGTTAGGCCAAATTTTGTTAATTTGGGCTAGGCATCCATCTGTATGAGTCTTATTAGAGGTTTTTCTTTTCTTGTGTTTTTAGGATGTTTACAGTTGGGTTAACCGAAAACTTGTTGTTTTCGGTTCATGAGGTGTTTCCGGCTGTACACTTGTTTGCGGTCGTGAACCTATTTACGGGTCACCGTTCACTATATATAGGTGTCAGTCTTGTCAGAGTGTAATCAAATGTATGTGTGCGTTCCTTTGCACCTGACGTTTGCGGTCATATATAAACGTGTGCAATTTGGAACTTTCTTGCTTCTACTCCTTCTTGTGCTTATTGATTCTAGCTTGTTCTTGTGTTTGATCACTTGTTGGATTTGGATTTGGGGACTTATAGACACAAAGTGCGGAATTAGTTGGTCTTTGGAACCGAGTCCATTTTGAGGCTGGGTTGCCATTATCATCTACACAAGGTACTTTCTCCCATGACATGTCATGTTTGTCACACACAGAAGATGAAGAAAAGTTATAATCATTAGATGATTTGGGAGTATGAACCTGTGGGACCCATCTATTGTCGGGTTTAACCCATTTCTTGTTTGATCGGATGGATGCCTTAGCACTTGCTTTAGAACTTGAAACAGACCGCCGAGATGACTTTGATTTAAAAAATCTTGATCTAATAGAACCATCTCTTGAATTTGGCATGTTGTCAGGCATTCGCTTCTTATCCTTGGGAGTTTGATTCTTGCCCTTCTCAGCATTCTAATCACCATTGCACGATTGTGACCTCGAAGGATTTCTTTTGGAGGATCTCCCTCTTGGCGCGTTCTGCCAACCTTGTCTGTAATAAGTAACATAAAAACGATGTGGGCAATTTCTGGCAATGTGACCGGGAGTCCCACTATTAAAGGAAGTCTATCTTTTCATATAAATTAGATTGTGACTTGGTCCTTGTCCAACTGAAGTTCGTTTCAAAGAACTTCCACAAGAACAAGCACAAGACACTACTAGAAAAACAGCCTTTTACGACGCTCATTGCACGTCGTAAAACGCTCAGACGACGCGCAAATGCGCGTCAAGGAAGGCCCTGTCATAAAGAGAGACGACGTGCTTTTGCGCGTCGTCTATAGACGACGCGCATTTACAACGCGCAATTACGACGCGCGTTTACGATACGCAATGCGTATCAAGGAAGGCCCTGTCATAAAGGAAGACGACATGCATTCGCGTGTCGTAACCTTACGACGCGCGTGTTAATGACACGCAATGCGTATCAAGAAAGCCCCTGTCAAGAAAGGCCATGTCATAAATGAAGATGACACAACGGAAATTTACAAACTAATTAGATACAAGAAATATGAAAAACTTGAAATCTCTAAGATTAATAATTCTAACAGAAGCTTCACGTGAGATAGATACAGTTGGACCAGTAAGCAAGGATGTTCCCGAATCCATAATAGCAGCAGAAGAACACGTACACGATATCTTTTGCAGGAAGGTGCCGATCCCAAACTACTGTTGAAGGTTGCCATGATAGCTTTTAAGATTTAAGCATAACAAGAAACCAATCAGTGACTATAATAAGCTAGAAAACAAGCAACTAATAAACAAAATAAGCAACTAATTAAGTCAAGCTATGACTATGTATTGTTCATACAAGAAAAAGAAGGAAAAAAATGTTGATTTATTGTTGTTCATACAACACTCTCCAGACAACACTTAATTGAAGAAAAGAATAAGGCTAAACTTACAAAGAAAAAGAATTCAGGAAGAAGACAAATTTGAAAGCATACTGAATAACGTTTAGCCAAGCAAGTGTGATCTACCTGTAAAGTTGAAAATGCAAAATTCTGAGTAAATGACCTAAATACCCTCAGAATCATAAATCATAATAACAAGTAATAGACCTTGTAGGAGGCAATGCAGAGGTCTGGCCAGATGGGTTTACCTGGCAAAAATGTTGGAGCACCAGGGAAATTCTGATCACATGGATCCCAATGACCACCATCTTATCCTTCAACCAAGCTAAGAGAAAGCTATCAACCCCTACCATATATATATATATATATATATATATATATATATATATTTAAAAATTAATTGAAAAACTTGTAGTGTTTCAATTTCATCATGTATTAAAATAGCATGAACGGTTGTACCTCTCCATCAGGTGAGAAGCTCAAAACAGAATTTGTTGTATTCCCATGCATATAATATTAACCAACAACTATAACACATGCATATAGTATTACAAATTACAACATTACCCCTTACAAATTGCAGAAAAAACATTGATATGATAGTGTGTAATTAGATTAATGATTATAAGAAGATAATAAAGTAAACCTTGAGTTGCTGGATTTGGGATCTTAGTTGACTTCTTTCAATGCTGGTCAACGAACATGAAAGCACCGGTTTTTTTTAACTCAACATGCTCTCCCCAATTCTTCTTTTGAAGGAACAAAAATATTAGAAACATACCGTATATTTAGTAAGGAATGGAATATGGGAAATCATTTCAAAATCTTCAGTGTCTGCAGCCATCACTACAAATTCAGAAAACCCTTATTCAGGTCCCTTGTAACTGTTTAAAAAAAAAAAGAAAAAAAAAATAGAAGTTAGAACCAACATTAAGAACAAAATATCAAAAATAAATATCAAAACAAGTCAGAATAATATTCACAAAGTTGATAAACTTTGGTTAAGAAAAAGAACGAGAAACATAGCCAATTTAGTTAGGAATTGAAACAAACCTGAATAATATCAAGCATTATGCAACTCTGGGAAAAGATAAGAACTTTATGGCCTTCAGGAATAAGATTACCCTGTAAGTGAATAAAAAAATCACATTGTAAATTTGTACCTGATGTTATGAAACACACATTCAACTGATTAAGATTTTCACTGTTGTTATGAAAAATCTACATTTGTACCTGATGTTATGAAAAATCACATTGTACATTTGGATGACCTAGAAGCAAAAGTTTTAAGTTTATGGAGAACCATGAACTATATAACAGTGTATGGCATGACCAAGAGAAACTTTATGCTGCAAATCCTTCAAGGATGGTTGGCAACAATCATCTTTCATCTCATTATCAGACCGACTTCCAGCAGCAGCAGCTGGCAAGGAGCTCATTGATTTCTTCTAATAATGGGCATTGGAGTGAAGGTGAGAATGGAAATAATGATATGAGACTACTGTGACCAAGGGTATGATTGTCATTTTCTAACACAACATACCATTTTCTGTTTTCACCTGGAATTAATTTTCACAAAATAAAAAAAACATATAAGGTTTTCTCAAGTATCACCTATAAAAAATAAAAACCAATTTCCACTAATCTCGATTGATGTTACTGCTATTCAGAAAAATAAAATCAGAAATTAGAAGAGAAAGAATGACGGTAAGCTTTCATTAGAAATTGAACAATTATATTCAAACATTTCAACAAACATCTAACAAGCATGTTAAAGAATCATGTTTTGATAGTCAAATTGATTCACAACTCCATTGTTAATAGATTTAGTTTTCATATGGAAAACAGATCAACAATTGATAATAGAACAACAATGAAGAACCATAAGGTCCCAATTCAACAATCGATATTATCAAATAAGGGTTTTAATTGAGATGTCTGCTTTTAAAGATTGGTTACAAGAAGTTCAAGTGTATTCTTCTGATTTAACTACAGGTGAAAGGATTATTTCTAAATGTAAAATTGAATATGCTTGGAATCCTTCTAAGTGTTCTCACTATAAAGTTTATGGTCATAAGGATATAAATTGTGGAATTTTAATTGCTAAACAAATGAAAGAAGAAGAGGAGAGAAGTAAAATAGAGAAAGGAAAAGAAGGAGCTACTGTGGATCTTATGCAAGTGCTTCTTGCCAGCACTAAAGAAGTTAAGGAACAAAATGATGGGTTTGTTGATGTGGTGAAGAAAACCAAAGGAAATAGTGGAAATTTTTTTTCAAAAGAAGCTACAGGGAGAAAAAACAGTTTTCGAGTCAGGGGCATCAAGGGAATTTCTCGAAAAATGAAGGTTCAGGGGTTTTTGCTGGAAACTGCAAGTAGGGGCAAAAAGGGAATTATCCGAAAATTGGAAATTCTGGGGCTTCTGCTGGAATTCGCTATCAGGGGTATAATGGGAATAATCAAGAAAATTTGGAATTTAGTTTTGATAGAGGTGGGAAGACAGGAGGTAAAAATGGGCAGGGGTATTATGGGAATATTCCCCCAATGAAAGGAAAGTCTAATGATTCAAAGATTGAACAGGGGTAAAGTTGGAAAAGTAACAAGGTTATGGGAAAGAACAAGGATGGGGGTGATGTTTCGGAAGTCAAAGGGTTTGTGGGAAATAATTCTATGATTCGGCCTGACCAGGAAGCTAAAGAATCAGAAGCAGGGGTGAATTTTAATGCTAGCAAGCAGGGCTATATTCCGAAATCTGGGGCAGCTTTTAAAATTTCTTCTAATTTTGATTTGGTTAATCATTCTATGAAGGGTCATGATGCTGAGAATTTTTTGTCTACCAATAAATTTGAAACTTTTAAGGATTTGGAAGATGAGAATAAATTTGTTTTCTCAAAAGGAGGTGTTGATGAGGATGATCTTGCTTATTTGGATTCTGTGAATCAGATGGATGTCATTGGTAGTGTCCCTGTGTTTGACACTAAAATGGAAGCTGGTCCTAATGATATTTAATCTTGGAGTTTGGTACTTTAGGGGGTTTGTTCTTTCTCCTATGATTAAAGGTCTAAAAATCGGTTTTAAGATGTATATGTTGTGTGTTTTAGCCATTCATATTTCGTTGGCTTGGTGGAAGATAAAGAGGTTATTAAAGAGAGAAGATTTTGATACTTCTTTGAGATGGGATTTTTTTGAGATTGTCCTCTTTGATCTCTTCTTTTTGAGCTATGTTTGGTTTCATGCTGCTTAGTGGAATTGGATTTGGAAGTGGATATGTTGGCATCCCTTAGATAGATTGTTGTTTTTTTAAATTTGTTTCTTTGTTTAGCTTAGCTTTGTTAGTTTGTTTCTCGTAGTTAGCTATTTTTGGGCGGTTGCCCTCTTCTTATTGTAATTTTTTCCTTTTTTTTTTTAATAAAATTTGCCAAGGGGTTCTTTTCCCCTTTTATCCAAAAAAAAAAAAAATACACTCACAATCAAGTACAACATCAAGAAAAATCTTACCATAATAGTTACCAATTCGAATATAAAACTGATATGGAACATCGAATTGGAAGGATTGATACAAAATTAGCGATCAATATGAACTAAAAAACAAATTTAGCGAATCACTTTGTTCTTCCATTTCTGTCGAGGCGATGCTTAGGGCAAAACCAGAATAATCGAATTCTACAAACATGAATATTACCGGAATAGGCTCGATTTCAAAATCGATATTATGGCTTGCTTTTAAAATCGATTTCATTAATTTTATATAAGAAGGGTACAAATGACCTAATTTTATATAAGAACTCTAGAACTGATACGTACCCTTCTCTTTGATAATTTCTTTTAAGATGACTATTGTTTAGGGCTATCAACAGCACCATCATCTCCGCTACCATAGTGTAATAAACAAAGCACCATTGAAGGCCCTTCATCATCTTCCGCTGCCATTACTTCCTTGAGTGAAAATTTCGAACTCGATGGGAGAGGAAATGAGTCGCCAATAAGAAATCTGAAATCATAAAATAAGATGGGAAGAAATCTGTGAAAAGAGTTGAAGTCGTTTGAGATACCGATGTAAATCCTTAGAAATCTCAATCGAGAAGAGAATGTAGAGACGCTTCTTTTTTTGGTGCTGAATCATTTCACCACCGGTCGATCACCACGGAAACAGGAGAACTGGAAGCTTAAAATAAAATAAAACCCTACACATATTTGTACTCTTCAATCATCGGATCTAGGGCAGAAGTAGATGGACGATGGGAAGTAGAGCAGATGTGAAAATAACCCCCAATCGCTAGTAGGCTCTGGAATCGTTAGCTTGTGAAAATTTTGTGAGGCAGTGAATGTGGGTGAGAGGTGGAGACGATGTAGGGTAGATATGAGAGTCATATGGAAATGAATGTAGGAGAAGAAGGCGGGTGTTTAAAAAATTTGGGGATTTCATTTTCCCTCTTAGAGACGCGCGTTTCTTAAAAAAATATAAAACGACATTCACAGAGGACGCACGAGTGCCCTCTGTGTTTTTAATTTTTTTACATGAGACACTATTTAAGGGCTCGCAATAATGCGTGACCAAAATCCTTAAATTTATTGAATAAACGACACTCTTTTAATGTCACTCTCCTTTGCGTAACATAAATCACCGAGTGTCGTGGTTTGCACGTCGTAAAAGGGTATTTTTCTTGTAGTGAGAGCATTTATTAGACTGCTTGATGGATTTTTTTAGTTGGGATTTTTCAACAGCAGGAGTGTCATCATCAAAGGCTTTTGAAACACTTTTAGCTCACTCAGAGTTGATTTTGTTTTGCTCACTCCCATCTTGCACTGCTTCTTTATCTATACATGAAGTAGAAGCATTAGAATCGTTCACCTCAATATTCTTAGTTAGGCCATAATGTTTAGTCTTAACTGAAGTTGGTATAGGGGATGGCCATACTAAGCAGGTATCTCTACCTCATTGGTTTCAAGGGGTGGGCTATAGTTATTATATAAGGGAGGTGGAACACTGTGATAACCTAGACCCTTATTCTGATTATCTTTATATTTTAATTATTTCTCAATCATAGTATCAACTTTGTTACTTGAACCATCTAATTTTTTAAAATTAAAGTCTGCATTTTCTAACTTATTTTTCAATGTGTTAAGCTTGTCAGTCAAGCTGGCAAGCTGTTTCTTAACATAGTTATAATTCTCACATTTGTTACTATAGTCTTCCTGAAGCTGTCTAAAGTCTCTTATCTTGGCCTCTAATTTTTCTTTTAAAGGTTTTTGGGCCTTTCTGAAAGTATAGCCTTCATGTTTAAGGTCCTCAATTTCTCCAATTAATAAATCATTTTGATCATGATAATGTTTAATTTTAGCTTCACGGGATTGAGAGCATTAAGTTTCATTAACCTTGGTGATTAAAGAACTCGTTATTCACCAAAAAGAGTAATTTACCAAAAATAGAACTGATTGTGAAACTAAGAAAAATGCCCTTTGATTTGAAAAATCAAACTTGAAAGTCAAACGTGAAAACTTGAATGTCAAAAGTCAAAAGTCAAACTTGAAAGTCAAGCTTGAAAGTCAAAATTGAAAGACAATCTTTTGTTCAAATAGAATAACCTTGACCGAAAACAAAAGTTTCTAAACCGAAAACGAAATTTCAAGACCAAAAACGAGAATATTTGACCAAAAATGAGGGTATTTGACTGAATACGTGGCCTTTTGACCAAATACAAAGCTTTAGGATCGAAAACGAAGTTATTGGATCGAAAACGTGGCTTTAGGACTAAAAACAAGCCAAAAATTTGAAAATCCAAAGTTACAGCCAAGGATTCAAGGGATGAATATCCGAACCGAGAACAAGGCTGAAATCTCGGACCGAAATCAGGAAAACCCGAGAAGTAGACTGTAAACCTGCGAGGCTGAAGTCTTCGAACCGAAAGCTGCGAGACCGAAATTGAGGAAGTGAACCGAAATCAGAGGCGCCGAGAACCGTCGCTGCCACCGAAAACTGCTGCTAACCTAACCGCAAGCGAGACCGCTACCGAGATTTCCGAGGAATCTTGACCGAGACCGAGGATTGCCTCCGAAATCTTGCATATTTTGACCTAAAACACCCAAAACTTGCCAAAAACACAAAATTTTCAAATCTTTTATGCCAAACTCGATCAAAACTCCAAAATATGAAGAACACGAAGAACAAATACCCAAAAATTCGTCCAAAACGATTCAAAAGCACCCAGAAATCCAAGAAAAAAATCTGAGAAAATATTAATATCTTGCTAATTCGATTGATACCAATCCAAGTTCAGATACCAATTGTAAGTCCTAAAAACGCTTTGATACATTAATTGGATTCACTTGATGGTGCGAAATCCCAATCAACTGAATGATGCAATATCAAATATGGAATAAGAACACAAAGATTAACTTTCAATGCAACACTATTATTGAATAGTCGGGTACATAAGATTC